GTTTTTTTCTGTTTCAACTTACATTTATTGTACGGGTTTGTTTTATGGTATGCTATTTTAGATTGCCTCTAGTGTAGTAATGGGTACCTTAGTTAAGTGTGTTCTGTTTCTCTCATATAGGAGCATAAGGTTGTTGACAAAATGGAAGAGAAAAATGTTGATGCTGTGTTGGAGAATGGAAATGACAAAGAGCAAGGTATGGACACACCAGGGTTGTGGTCAATTCAGTTTAAAAATATGAAGTTATTATTCAAGAAGTTAGAAAACAATGGGCTATTTTCTATTATGAAATTTACTCACACACACATCACACAAGTATTTTCAAATACACAGCCCAAAACAAGTATTTTTATTTGAGTATTTGAATGGTTAATTGTAAAAACCAAAAAGTCTACCAAATTGTAGTTGATTGTTTTCAAATACTTATTTCAAATACTATTTTAAAATACCTGGGTTAAATGCATTGGAGTGTATTTGAGTATTTTCAAATACTTTCCAAGTGTATTTCCAAATACATTAAAATATTCAACTACTTGTCTTTTCAAATAAAATATATCTGAATACTTACTTTGAATGTGCAGTACCAGTCAAACGTTTGGACACACCTAATCATTCAAGGGTCTTTCTTTATTTTTACTATTTTCTACATTGTAGAATAATAGTGAAGACATCAAAACTATGAAATAGCACATATGGAATCATGTAGTAACCAAAAGTGTTAAACAAATCAAAATAGATTTTAGATTCTTCAAAGTAGCCACCCTTTGCCTTGATGACAACTTTGCACACTCTTGGCATTCTCTCAACCAGCTTCACATGGAATGCTTTTCCAACAGTCTTGTTCCCACATATGCTGAGCACTTGTTAGCTGCTTTTCCTTCACTCTGTGGTCCAACTCATCCCAAACCATTTCAATTGGGTTGAGGTTGGGTGATTTGTGGAGGCCAGGTCATCTGATGCAGCACTCCATCACTCTCCTTCTTGGTCAATTAGCCCTTAAACAGCCTGGAGGTGTGTTGGGTCATTGTCCTGTTGTAAAACAAATGATAGTCCCGCTAAGCGCAAACCAGATGGGATGGCGTATCGCTGCAGAATGCTGTGGTAGCCATGCTGGTAAAAATTTCGACTCATCAGATTTTCACTGGTCTAATGTCCATTGCTCATGTTTCTTGGCCCAAGCAAGTCTCTTCTTATTATTGGTGTCCTTTAGTAGTGGTTTCTTTGCAGCAATTTGACCATGAAGGCCTGATTCACGCAGTCTCCTCTGAACAGTTAATGTTGAGATGCGTCTGTTACTTGAACTCTGTGAAGCATTTATTTGGGCTGCAATTTCAGAGGCTGGTAACTCTAATGAACTTATCCTCTGCAGCAGAGGTAACTCTGGTTCTTCCTTTCTTGAGGCGGTCCTCATGAGAGCCAGTTTCATCATAGCGCTTGATGGTTTTTGCGACTGCACTTGAAGAAACTTTCAAAGTTCTTGAAATGTTCCGTATTGACTGACCTTCATGTCTTAAAGTAATGATGGACTGTCATTTCTCTTTGCTTATTTGAGCTGTTCTTGACATAATATGGAGTTGGTTTTTTACCAAATAGGGCTATTTATTTATTTATTTTTTTTTGGTCATTTAGCAGACGCTCTTATCCAGAGCGACTTACAGGAGCAATTAGGGTTAAGTGCCTTGCTCAAGGGCACATCGACAGATTTTTCACCTAGTCGGCTCGGGGATTAGAACCAGCGACCTTTCGGTTACTGGCACAACGCTCTTACCCACTAAGCTACCTGCCGCCCTATCTTCTGTATACCAACCCTACCTTGTCACAACACAACTGATTGGCACAAACGCATTAAGAAGGAAAGAAATTCCACAAATTAACTTTTAACAAGGCACACATGTTAATTGAAATGGATTCCAGGTGACTACCTCATGAAGCTGGTTGAGAGAATGCCAAGAGTGTGCAAAGCTGTCATCAAGGCAAAGGGTGGCTACTTTGAAGAATTAAAAAAATAAAATATACTTTGATTTGTTTAACACGTTTTTGGTTACTACATGATTCCATATGTGTTATTTCATCATGTTGATGTCTTCACTATTATTCTACAATGTAGAAAGTAGTAAAAAATAAAGAAAAACCGTTGAATGAGTAGGTGTATCCAAACTTTTGACTGGTACCGTATGTAAAAGTAATTGAGATATTTGAAACAGTATTTGAACCCAGGTCTGACAAACACACACACTTTCCTCATTGGTGTCTGCTATCTCCCAATCAGTCAGCGGTCAGACAGCAGAGAAGCACAAGCCACATCTCCCTGTCAGTGCCATGACCAGGACTAGTCCCGAGTCACCAACTGGCCCCAGACGAGCCTCAGAGGAACTCAAGTCTGCTGGTCATTCATTAGAAGATGTCACCTCACCCAAAGCAATACCGGATTATTTGTATAAATCTGGTGAGTAAAATACCTGTAATATAATATATGTAACATATTTGTTTCCTTACCTTGTTAGCAGGCTGTGGACAATTTTGTAAGTAATCTTTTACATATTTATTTTCCTTCTTTGACTCTCACCTTTCCTCCTTTTACTGTATGTACACTCCTAACAAATCAGAGGACTCGTCATTCGGCAAGCCACATCTTCCCTGCACTGCCATGACCAAAACGGACTCCCCAACTAGCCCCAAACCGCCAGCACAATCTCCTGCTTTGGCCCAAAAGTCTCCTGCTTTAACACCAAAGTATCCTACCTACCCAATAGCAGACGTCACCACTTCCAAAACAGCACTTGTTGCTCTGTTTAGTCCTAGTGAGTAGAACATGGACCGGACTCAGTTCTCTATTCTTAAAGGGATAGTTCACCCAAATTACATATTTGTTTCCTTAACTTGTATGCAGATCCTCTGGGTAATTTTGTATTTTGTATTTATTTTTGAATTAACTATCCCTTTAAGATGTACTCTGACAAATCTAAAGTTAAATTAAGGAACATATCCATGGCTGACTTTGTTGACTTGTCTTGGGTGTTTCAGCACCAGCATTAAAGAGAGAGACCCCTGTGCCAATGCGTACATTTACACTTCCAGGCCTATTACAAGGACCAGGTACATATTCATTTTGCTTGCAGTAGGCCTAGATTGTGTAACATTTTATGTGTCTGTCATCCACTCTCGTTGACACCTGTTCGGGTTCAAATAGTACAGATAAAGCTTTTGAAAGAAAAGGAATACTGTTTGAACCCAGGTCTGGTTGACACTGTCCATCCGATCTGATGTCACCCTCTAGTCCAAATAAAATGTTGCATTCAAGCTAAACCTTAACAGCTAACCTTTTCTCCTCTTCTGTCTATTCTCATCAAAGCAGAGAGTTCGTCAGGACAACATCAGGAAGTGAGGTCACCAGTCAGCAGTCATGGAGCTCAGCAAGAGCACCCCACCCCTGTATCTCTGGCCCCGCCCTATGCCCCTGTCAGTGCCTTGACCAAAACTAGCCCTGAGGTACCAACTGCACCAGCCCCAACTCAGTCCCCTGCCACCCCATCTTGGGCCCCTGCTGCCCCATATCAGTCTTCTGCTGCCCAAACTCAGTCTCCTGCAGCCCCTCCATCTCCTGCACCCAAAACACCTAGTCAATCCGTATTTGAGGAGACCACACCCAAAGCATCAGGAGAATTTCCTTTCAAACGTAGTGAACGTGGTGAGTACCACAGGGACACAAGAACTCCTCTCTCACTACTATCTGTTTCATCTTTTCCGTTTCTGACTTTGTTCTTTCCCATTTCTTTGTCTGACCTCTAGTTCTATTTCAGTTTTTTTCCCTTCCTTCTTTTACAGTAGTACATGCAGTTAAGGCAGCGAGCCCGAGTCTTACCCGTAGCATGAGCTTCCCAGCAACCACAGGTGAAAGTAGGAACTGGTCTGTAGGCATAGCATAGTAGTCTTCTGGTCTTCATTGTGTGTTGTGCTGTCCGCCTTTGCCTCTCCTAGTCTTTTCTCCATTGTCAGGTTAGCATTGTCCTCTCTTCCCTGGCGGTCCAGATAAGTTTGACAGTCCGAACAAGCTTGGTGGTCTGGACAAGTTTGGGGGCGGTGGGGAGCGGAAGCTGCAGAGGTCACAAACGCTGCCTCGCAACCTCGGGATGCAGGGCAAACGGTCTCTGTTTGAGAGTTTGGCCTACGAGTGTGACAGGTACAGTAGGCACAGTCAGTCACCCTGACTTCACCCATTGTCTCTCTTGCCCACCTTAGCTAACTATTACTCCCTATTGGGTAATTGCTAAAGCCTAGTTGCTGAAGCCTAGTTATATGTTCCCCAACCCTTTACTACATGTATATTATCACTGTCATTAACCATGTTTCCATCCACAGTTTTTATGCGAGTAAAGTAATACCATAAAAAAAAAAATCACTACAGCTGTGATGGAAACAGGAAGTTTCGGTACAATTTTATAAATGCCGACAGATAATTTGTTTGTTCGATATGGTGGGATGATTTTGTGTCTGTAAAATTAAATATGCGAGAAATGGCGGTGGGAACTCCTTTATGCGCAAATATTGATATAATAACCATCATATCAAAGTAAACTTGTAGTCACACAATTATATGGTGTGTGGTCCTTCCACTATGACTCGGGAAACCATGCAGTTTATTAGGCTACAGATGAAGTAAGTTATGATGAACTTCACAGGGTGGTGAAAGTGCACGGTGATGAGCTTGATGCTCCTTTCCAATAAGTATTGAGGGTCTTATTCTGGTAACATGATGATCGATGCTTGACTGCCGTTTGACAATGAAAAATATTCTCGGATTTATCCATAATAATCTCATCATGTAGACTAGCCTACCCGCACAGCCTACCCACACTGTATCTGCCAGCTGTTAGCTAGACCTGAGTAGGCATATTTGCTATTTAATGCAACAGTTTTTTTGACAAAACTATCGGTAGACTAAAAAATGTGATGGAAACACATTGAACTTTAGATTTTTATTCGGTACATGAAAACTTAAGCGAAAAAGTACATTTTGTGTGCACTACATCATCCACAACAAATCCATTTCGTGGAAACACCATTGGTGGGAAAATGCGCATATTTTCTTAATGCGGATTTTAGAATATTCGCATGAAAGTCTGTCGCCGATTGCATGGAAACCTAGCTATTGTGTGATGTCAGACAGTTGGTTCCTGTTTATATGTCACTTAGCAAACAAAGCAAACAAAGCAACTTACAGCACAGTGAGTGCATACATGAACCCATGACCTTGATGTTGCTAGCACTATGTTCTTACCAACTGAGCTACACAGCCACAAACAACTGAACACCTCTATGTTCCACTCTGCAGGTCCAAGGCTGCAGGCTCCAAGCCCAGACTGCAGCGCTCCCAGAGTTTCAACAGCGCTAGCAACATCAAGGCAATGCTCCTGGAGTGGTGCCGCTCCAAAACCATTGGCTACCAGGTGAGTCCGGCCCTAGTCCCTTGTGACTGTTCACAATGTGATATAAATGTTAGCTAGCAAACGTGAGATTTGGTTCTGGTTTCCAGCGATTAGTCCATCCCAGTCCTTGCCAGGACTTTAGACAGCATAGGAGGCTCCATATTCTCATACCATTTTGTTCGTAATTGGACCATGTGTGTTAATCATGCATTTATGTTAATAGAGGATTTACCATCAAATATGGCCCTTAGTTAGTCAATGTATAGGAATACTCAAGTTTTAACTGGTTTTCCATGGAAATAACACTGCATTTGGCTCCTACCATTCTCTCCACCAGAACATAGACATCCAGAACTTCTCATCCAGCTGGTGTGATGGGATGACCTTCGCTGCCCTGGTCCACTCCTTTTTCCCGCTGGTGTTTGACTACAACACACTGAACCCTGCCAATCGCAAACACAACTTTGAAATGGCCTTCACCACAGCAGAGTAAGTGTGTGTGTGTGTGTGTGTGTGTGTGCTGCCATCCTGTTAGAAGGTAACATATTATTTTATTATAGTGGTTAAGAGTGACTTTCATTGTGTTCCATGGTGTTTATCGTCCCCTAGTGGAGCTTTCTGGTACTTAGAAGAATGCACAAAAAACGGAAGTAGAGTAGTCATTCTGCACGCAGACAAGCAGCTAGAAACAATGCTACGGTACAGTTGTTTCTGTGCAACTATTTATTGTCATGCTTCAGCCTCGGAAAATATTTATTTGTAAGTTCAATTCAAGCATATTGCTAGTGATGATAATATTGTTATTGATAGAATTGCTACTTATCAATGTTAGTTGGTTACATTTACTCACGCCAATTGCATTGACTTTCATGGATGGGGTCAACTGTATTAGTTTGCTCGTGCGTCATGTAAGCGAATTGTAAAACATACTATAGTTTGTTACTGTTTCTAGTGTAATATGCTTTGTTATTGTACAGAGGTGTTTGCACATTATTAGAGTAATGAAGGGAGTTGGCTAATTGCTACTCATATGGTAATTATCTATCTGGTTTGTCGTCATGTCAGATACATGGTACCTTGGCACTTGCTTTGTATTTATACAACTTCAACTTGAAATGTATAATGTACAGCTACACAATGTCAATGTGAATTGGATACTAAAGTATATTATTTTATGTATTTTGCAGTTTCACAACATAAACGTTTTCAATACATTCGTTCAAGAAAAGTCACGCCTTGGAAGTTTTTGAAGACTCAGTTGTTAGTTATCTGTCTAGTTTTTCATGGGAACGCAATTCCAGTGCAGAATAGTGCGCGTGTGAGATCCTGGGACAACTCTGTGGCTTACGTTATTATAATATAGATCTATTGGAAACCTTATTTTTAAATCTTGTGGTTCATATTTTTTTTCTCTCCTTCTGTCTCTCTCAGGGAGCAAGCCGACTGTGTGCGTCTCATAGAGGTCGAGGATATGATGGCGATGGGTAGCAAACCAGACCCCAAGTGTATTTTCACCTACGTTCAGTCCCTCTACAACCACCTCAAGAAGTTTGAATGACACTCCCATACAGAGGCGACCACCCCTATCACCAGCTACACTGACTAATGTCGTCAGCAAACCAAAGCACTACTCCCTACTTTGTTCAAATCTTGATAACTGTATATGACGATTGTGCCTGTAGAATTCTATTTGAATTCTTCTGGTCATGTAATAATGTGCTGTGCATATGGTTTGGGGGCGTTTATTTTGCCTCATTTAGGGCGGCAGGTAGCTTAGTGGGTAAGAGCGTTGTGCCAGTAACCGAAAGGTCGCTGGTTCTAATCCCCGAGCCGACTAGGGCGGCAGGTAGCTTAGTGGGTAAGAGCGTTGTGCCAGTAACCGAAAGGTCGCTGGTTCTAATCCCCGAGCCGACTAGGTGAAAAATATGTCGATGTGCCCTTGAGCAAGGCACTTAACCCTAATTGCTCCTGTAAGTCGCTCTGGATAAGAGCGTCTGCTAAATGACCAAAAATAAAAAATTAAAAAATTTAGAAAATAGAGGTAGTGAATTGGGGAAAAGATTGTAGTTTTACAAATATGTTTTTTGACTGAGAGAGCCACCTGCTGGTTATTTTCTAGTGGTGTAATATGGACGCAGATCATAAAATAAATGGAACAAGATCTATAAAATAGTCTTTGTCAAGCATGAAGCTAGCAAAACACCTGAAATACATAATTTAATACAAATTGCAAAGAAAGTGGGAAGAAAATTAAAATGAAAGAAGTGTAAATGCAAAGAAAGTTGGCAGGAGCAACTTGTTAATTGTAAGCACTGATCTTGAATCTGTTGGGTCTTCTGCTGATGCCATTGGACTCAAGGATTTACAGTCATACAGTACAGTATATTGTTGTTTAAAAGGCATCTGTTTTTTGTGTAATAAAAAGTCAGATTGTCAGTGTTACAAATGAATAGCTGTATCTACAATTTGTATTGAATTTCAATCAAAAGTAATGGATGAGCCTTTATTTAAACTATTATTATAATAGTGAATGTAATAATGTACACTATTGTTTATTTTTATTTATCTGTCTGAATTAGTTTAAGGGTATGTTGTTGTTATCTCCTGGAAAGGAAACCAGCTACAATTGGCCTTAAACCATCGACTCTTTGGTTACAGGCACATCTTCTGTGGCATAAACATTCAGACCTCTTGACATAGCCTACACCTCTCAAAGGATGGTCCATACACACCCACCAATGCGAACCGAGACCAACGATGTAAAATAGGTACCAGATCTGAGTTGGTGACTACTACTATCGTGTTGTGTAGAAATGAATTACATTGATCATTCCTATGTGAATATAGGTTCAAATATACACTGAACAAAAATATAAAACAATTTCAAAGATTTTACTAAGTTACAGTTCTTATAAGGAAATCAGACAATTGAAATAAATTCATTAGGCCTTAATCTATGGATTTCACGGCTGGGAATACAGATATGCATCTGTTGGTCACAGATACCTTTAAAAAAAGGGAGGGTGTGCATCAGAAAACCAGTCAGTATCTGGTGTGACCACCATTTGTCTCATGCAGCACAACACATCTCCTTCACGTATAGTTAATCAGGCTGTTAATTGTGGCCTGTGGAATGTTGTCCCACTTTTCAATGGCTGTATGAAGTTGCTGGATATTGGCTGGAACTGGAACATGCTGGCGTAAACGTCGATCCAGAGCATCCCAAACATGCTCAATGGGTGACATGTCTGGTGAGTATGCAGGCCATGGAAGAACTGGGCCATTTTCAGCTTCAAGGAATTGTGTACAGATCCTTGCGATATGGGGCCATGCATTATCATGCTGAAACATGAGGTGATGGCAGCGGATGAATGGCACGACAATGGGCCTCAGGATCTCATCATGTTATCTCAGTGCATTCAAATTGCTATCGATAAAATGCAATTGTGTTCGTTGTCCGTAGCTTATTCCTGCCCATACCATAACCCCACCACCACCATGGGGCACTCTGTTCACAACATTGATATCAGCAAACCGCTCGCCCACATGACGCCATACACGCTGTGTGCCATCTGCCCCATACAGTTGAAACTGGGATTTATCCGTGAAGAGCACACTTCTCCCGCGTGACAGTGGCCATCGAAGGTGAGCATTTGCCAACTGAAAACTGTTACGACGACGAACTGCAGTCAGGTCAAGACCCTGGTGAGGATGACGAGCACACAGATGAGTTTCCCTGAGACGGTTTCTGACAGTTTGTGCAGAAATTCTTCAGTTGTGCAAACCCACAGTTTCATCAGCTGTCCGGGTGGCTGGTCTCAGACGATCTCGCAGGTGAAGAAGCCGGATGTGGAGGTCCTGGGCTGGCGTGTTTACACGTGGTCTATGGTTGTGAGGCCGGTTGGATATACTGCCAAATTCTGTAAAACGACGGAGGTGGCTTATGGTAGAGAAATGAACATTAAATTCTCTGGCAACAGCTCTGGTGGACATTCCTGCAGTCAGCATGCCAATTGCACGCTCCCATAACTTGAGATATCTGTGGCATTGTGTTGTGTGACAAAACTACACATTTTAGTGGCCTTTTATTGTCCCTAGTACAAGGTGCATCTGTGTAATGATCATGCTGGCGGGTTTTAGGGCGGCACTAACGTTAGCTTCACAAGTAAACTGTGGCTGTCACGGCTTTTGAGAGACATGACGACTCGCAGTGATGTTGCAAAAAATGTACTATTGATTGAATTAACTATTGATGAACTCACAAGTAATTAACTTTGCACACTCACCATTGATAATGTCTTGATAAATAAATAAATACCGTTAAATATAAGAGTTACACAAAGTAGGGAACTTTATTTTCAGAGGGGATTCTGTTCAAAGAGAGAGATGAAGGAAGATAATGTTAATGAACAAAGCACGAGAATGATTAGGGTTAATATTATAACTTCAAATAACACAAGATGAATAATTTGATCAACTACTTAACGTTAGTAAATTATAAAGCAACAATATTAATATAAAAAAGAAATTTCAACAACTCACATCTGTCCTCTCAGTCCATCATATACACTGAGTGTACAAAAAGTTATGAACACTTGTTCTTTCCATGGCATATGCAATAACGTTATGTTGGATTACATGGAAATGATATCCACATTTTTGAGTCCATTGTCTTGGAACTATCTTAATAAATGATGTTGGATGTACACAAAAAAAAGTTATTTCATTTGATTTTGAGAGGAAATGTCTGGAAAGGGAAAGGCCCAAGAAATGGCGAGGCTATACCCCTGAACAGCTAGCTACAGGTTGCTGTTGAGGAGGTGAAGGCAGGGAGCCTAAGGGAGGTGGGATTGTGTTAGCTGTGTTGTTGGCTAGCTCCTCTGAAGAACAGTGTCCTGACAAGAGAGCACATTTTCTATGCCAGGCGAAATCACGCCTCATTAGCTCATTGTTATGGATGTATCCAAATAAATGTCACTAGAAAACAGCTTAAACAAATGCAAAGGCAGCTACTATTGTTATTCTGTCTGCACTGTTTGACGTGACTGTAAGTTAGCGTAGTTGGCTAGCTAGCAAGCAAGGGATAAGAACATTGCCAGCCAGTATGGCAATGGAACATTTAGAACGACCCTTGTTCTGTCCATAGATACAGAACAAAAAGACTGAACGACTGGGTCGCGTCTCTGGCAACCGAACAGATAGAATGAACGACCAGCCGGCTTGGGTAGCAACCCTAGATTTGTGTCGGGACTATATCTTGTGGAAGGATGAAATAGTATAAATAAATTCATCAACATAACGTTTTTAATGAAAATATTTCAATCATTATTTGAATGTTGGCGTCCTATTCACACAACTGCTAACTAATAGAGCGGTTCATAGAAATTGACACATTCCTAAATTAACAAGTAACTGGTAAGTTTAACTTTGGTTGTTCGTCTAAACAGCTGACGATGTACAGTGCATTTGGAAAGTATTCAGACCCATTCCCTTTTTCCACATGTTGTTATGTTACAGCCTTATTCTAAAATGGATTAAATACAATTTATTCCTCCTCAATCTACACACAATACCCCATAATGACAGCATTGAAGGTCCCCAAGAACACAGTGGCCTCCATCATTCTTAAATGGAAGATGTTTGGAACTCTTCCTAGTGCTGGCCACCCGGCCAAACTGAGCGATCGGGGGAGAAGGGCCTTGGTCATTGAGGTGACCAAGAACCCGATGGTCACGCTGACAGAGCTCCAGAGTTCCTCTGTGGAGATGGGAGAACCTTCCAGAAGGACAACCATCTCTGCAGCACTCCACCAATCAGGCCTTTATGGTAGAGTGGCCAGACGGAAGCCACTCCTCAGTAAAAGTCACATGACAGCCCGCTTGGAGTTTGCCAAAAGGCACCTAAAGACTCTCAGACCATGAGAAACAAGATTCTCTGGTCTGATGAAACCAAGATTGAACTCTTTGGCCTGAATGCCAAGCGTCACGTCTGGAGGAAACCTGGTACCATCCCTACGGTGAAGCATGGTGGTGGCAGCATCATGCTGTGGGGATGTTATTCAGCAGCAGGGACTGGGAGAATAGTCCGGATTGAGAGAAAGATTAACGGAGCAAAGTACAGAGAGATCCTTGATGAAAACCCCTCCAGAGCACTCAGGACCTCAGACTGGGGCGAAGGTTCCTCTTCCAACAGGACAACGACCCTAAGCACACAGCCAAGACAATGCAGGTGTGGCTTCGGGACAAGTCTCTGAATGTCCTTGAGTGGCCCAGCCACAGCCTGGACTTGAACCCGATCGAATATCTCTGGAGAGACCTGAAAATGGCTGTGCTGCGACGCTCCCCATCCAACCTGAAAGAGCTTGAGAGTATCTGCTGAGAAGAATGGGAGAAACTCCCCAAATACAGGTGTGCCAAGCTTGTAGCATCATTCCTAAGAAGACTTGAGGCTGTAATCACTGCCAAAGGTGCTTCAACAAAGTACTGAGTAAAGGGTCTGAATACATATTTAAATGTGATATTTCCGGGGGGTTTTAAACGTGTTTTTCCTTTGTCAATA